ATCCTGCCTTTGGCTTTCTCAGGCCCTACTAGCTGTTTCTTCCCACTCTCTTGCTGGCTTCTCCTCGGCTCAGTTCTAAATGCTGGGATGCTTACTCCAGGCCAGACCCAGGCTTCTCTTCTCTGTTCCTGCTTACTACTTGGTGATCTTATCCAAACACCCCCAAATTTCTATTNTCTAAGTGCCGGGATGCTTTCTCCAGGCCAGATCCAGGCTTCACTTCTCCTCTGTTCCTGCTTACTACTTGGTGATCTTATCCAAACACCCCCAAATTTCTATTTCCAGCTTAGAATTCTCTTCTGAGTTCCAGACACTTGTATCAGTAACCTCCTTACCTGACAACTGCGCATGGATGTTTTCTCAGTATTTTCATTTCCGAGGAAGAAGCCTTGATTCTCCCCTTACCCCAGATCTACTTCTCTAGTTTTTCCAGTCTTTTCCATCTCAGCGGATTGCACTACCATCCACCCTAGTTGCTCAAGAGCAAAGCCTAGAAGTCATTCTTAATTTCCTTTTCACTCATTTTCTATTTTCACCCCATCAGGAAGCCCTGTGAACACAACCTCCAAAACAGCTCCTGAATTCTGCCCACTTTTCTCCATCTCCCTTCCTACCAGTCCAGTAAAAGTTACCATCACTTCCCATGGCCCTTGATTGACTTGCTGCGTTTAAAGCTAAGGACAAATAGTCCCTTAATTGGTCTCCCTACCTTCATTATTGACCCAACCATCATTTCTCCCTTGAAGAACCAGAGAGATTATTTTAAATATAAGTTAGATTATTTTTTAAATTCTGTAAATGGCTTCGAATTGCACGCAAAATAAAATCGCAGCTGTATGCCTTACAAATCTGTATAGTGTGGCCTCTGACTGTTCCCTCTGCCTAGCGTGCTCTGCCCCAGCCTTCTCATGGCGGATACTTCTTTGTTATTACGACACTTCCTCATTGCTTCCTCAAAGAAAGATGGTTTTTATTGTTCTGTTTTCACCACACAGCCACTCTGTACCACACTCTCCTGTTTTAATGCTCTGAAAGTACTTGTTATTACCCCCCCTTTACTGGATCATAAGCGTGTTGTGAACAGCAAGCGCAAAAGTCCTTCAGGCTCATTACTACCAGTAGTCTGGCATCTGAGCAGTGCTGAGAAGGTTGTGGGTATATATTTGCTAAGTGAATTAATGAATGGCTATTCTATTACCATACAGCTATTTTGTGTTATGTCCAACACTTCTCATTCCTATTTCTGTTCCTGTCTTCTCTTCTTAAGTTGGAAAACTGATGGTCTGAGATAAACATATCAAATCTTCCTAAAGTTTATCTGGAGTTCTGGGTAGATTTACAAAGACTAGAAGTTATGACTGGTTGCTGGTTGAAGCCACAGTTGCCTGCAGACCAATGAGTTCTTATAAAGTAACAAGTCCTAGAGCAGATTTGATTGACAATTTTATTGACTGTCAAAGGGAGCTGTCATTACATACCATTAGAGGAAGCGTGGAACTTCTGGCAACCTAAAATTCCTGATGGGATGACTGGCTCAGAGCCCTGTGAATAGCACTACTATTGGTGCATGTCTTTTGTGGATGTTTACTGATGACATAATAATTGAAAACTCTTGGCAATTATTTTGAGGGCTCTCTACCCTCATGCATGCCATCTTGGATTAATTTACATTTTACTGGATTCATTGATAGTCTGATTTCTTTTCATAGATATAGACCTTTTCCTCCATGACAGCAAGTAGAATAACTCCAAAAGGCCTCTGTCACAGAGAAACTGAATTTGGAGTTTTTAGCTCAACCAGTTTTGGTCCTACGTTCAACAACAGCATTCCAATTCGCACAAGGCCTGAAAATCTGGGTGTTCAAGTTATATTTTTCTGTAAAGTAAAATTAATTTGACTTCTATGTATACCAAATAAGTGCTTTAAAGAAACATGAAATGAATAGAATCAAAGTTTTGTGAGAGGAAACATAATTTCAATTTAATTATTACTAAAGCAAAATGTTTTTATTTCTCTGAAAGGTGAAACTTACTTTGGTTAAATATTAATTGGAATGCTGTTTTCAACTTTGAGGTCTGAAATTTCAATTCAATTCACTCAGTATCTATTGAGCATCTACAGTAGGCAAGGCATTGTGTTATAGGAAATTGAAAGAGCTTATTAAACACAATAATGAGATAAGCAGAATAGAAAATAGACCTTTAGACAAACAAATAAAGAGTAAGATTATTTAGTTTTCAGGAGGAAAAAAAGGCTGAGACCAGGTACATTATATACAGATGAGCATGTTTTCAGAGAGGAGAAAGCTAGAGGCAATATTCTATCTGATATTAAAATAAAGACAAGGAAAAGCTTGTTGATTCCAAGGGTGGTGATTCACTAGAATTAATTTCTCTGGGAACTTGCCTTTCATTCTGGAAAAGTTTAAAGGAACTTTCTAAACTAGTTTAAGTCGTCCTGTCTGTTAACAAGGAGCTATGGAGGCTCAAAACCTCATGATAAGTTTGGGAAACTTGTGGTTTTTACTCAGACTCCTATGCAGTATGAGTATAATTGTACCAGATCATGGCTTTAACCCATACTCACTTCATAGATCATCCATAATGTCACATAAAAATGACAGTGAAGCATGCAATAGGCCCACTGGATGCTATTTTTGGTAAGACCATCTCTGAACTTGCACTTTAAGGGAGACTAACAAGTCAAATAAGCCGGATAAAGAAGGTAGGACCTGAGAATCACAGTTACCAGCCGTGATAAAGCTTGGGGAAAGAAAGGCACAGGGAACATGAGTGTAATCTTCAAATAGTTCCACTTATCCAGAAATGAGTTTTAAACTGACATTTATACATGGGCAAAATTACAGACCATGGCTGGAATTGATAGGCAGGCGATTTGTTACCAGAAAGATCATGCAATGTTGGACCCTAGTGAGCTCCACATTCCTAGAATTCGGGCACAGACTGCTAGGGAAGAGCAGATTGTCTGCAGTGCCCCAGACTGAACTCCTCCAGAGATTCTCTACAGGACAGTACCGCCCCCTTGAGGGTGTTTTGAAATTTGCAGAAATGTTTTTAATAGTCATGACAGAAATTAACTGGATTTCTGTGAGCAGGGCACAGAAATGCTAGATGTCCTGCAATGATGAAGAAAGCTCCAAACAGAAAAATTGTCCCATGTCCAATGTACCACGTGACTTTCTAATGTCACACCAGAATAAATCCATTATAAATATAATTGCAAGTATTTTACCATGTAATAATATTGGACATTTTTTCAAGAAGTTAAGTAAAATAACTTAGAAGAAAATCAGTAAAAAGGATATATAAATGGAATTAAGATGTCATTTAAAAATTATGTAATAATTTACTTTTTCTGCCAATAGTACCTATTCAATATGTCATGTATTTCCAAGTACCTATTCAGTTTTAAGGGGTTTCAGTGCCAGAGTTTAGTTTTTGCATGGCAAATATGAGACAAAACATTTAAAACTTAGTGCAATAAATTATAGAGATATGCAACTATTGGGTAATCTAAGGATAGATTATGCTCTGTTTTGTTTGGAATGTTCCATGAGTTTTCTAAAGGTACATTAGTGTCAATGATGCTACTCATGGTATTTAAGCTGCTAATAAAATACCCCAGATCAGTCTTTACTAATAGCTGAACAAATGAACATATAAAATAACAGTGATGATTTGAGATCCTTATGAATACACTTAGACACAGCATATAAATTAGCAGACACCTGAAACAGTGATGCCAGTGAGTTGTATTAAGTGTTTTGAAATATTTTATTACCATTCTATATATTTTGATTTTTAAAATACAAAATAAGATCTCTGCTCTGAAAATTACATATTGAATTGGAAAGCATTTATTTTGGGGGTCGGTACTCTAACTAATACTGTCCCATGAGGTCTACCACACAACTTTCTGCCAATCTATCCTCTTGCCAGCTGCTGATTATAGGATGATCATCTCTGAGGTCCCTTTAACTATCTGAAACTAAATGTGTATCTCAATAGAGGGTAGATTGTTTAATATAAAAGATGTGTTTGTGTTATACATTGTCATATGTTAGTTGTGTTTCATAATATAGAAACTTATTTTGATACTAGACTACACAATAATTTCTAGCTCATTTTCAAGAATATCATACTTTCCACATTTTCCCTCATCTATAACCCATTATTTTTTCTTAGCATATTATCTGTACTTCAATTAAGGTTATTTCCCTCTTTCTTTTATCATATTAAAATACATCTAGTCTCTTATTACTTGTCTTAACTTTAGGTTTTATTCTAGGGTCTACCTATACTTATGCTTGCTCAGTTATTTATAAGTAATCAGTATGAATGTGTTCATTCTTTTGTTTATTTCATGCTTCTTACATGAAAGAACTATTGATCCTTTTACTTCTTGTAAGCTCCAACTTATTCATATTAATAATGTGTAGTCATCAGACAATTTCATCATGATTTTTAGAAGAGCTGTATCTGAATATATACATAGGGAATCCATATTCTTTTATTATATATTATTTTATTTTGTCCTGATTTTTATTAGCGTTATGACATTATATCAAATTTTTAAAAATCAATACATGAGTATTTATGAATTTTAATTGAAGATATTAAAGGGAGCATTGCATATTAGTGATATGAAAAGGGAATGGCTTCTGATAGGGTTGAGTACACTGCACTAGATAATCTCTAAGGTCCTTTCATTTCTAAATCCTGAGACTCCTTAGTTCCTCTAACCTTACTATGAATGATGAACACTCCTGTCTCCCAAAACAGTAAACACGGCACTGACAGAAACTTATGCGAAGATGAACATACCCTTTTGGTTGTATAAATGACTATTTTGCACTTATATAAGAGAGCGAGCCATTTTTCATTTCATTGAGTTGAGAAGACCATGCTAAACCAAGAAATGGGAACACGAGCTTCCCCACCGTGAGCATTTTCACACTCACACCGTGCACCCGTCTCACCTAACTTGACAAGGCGGAGCAGGGAGGTGTTGCTTCCTCTCTCGGTACAAGCAGTGACCGAGAGATTGTAGATATCTCCTGGGGGCAGGCTGAGAGCTGCAGTCATGACATTGCGTGTTACCTGCAGGATCATCAAAATCGAGAATTTAACCTTCTAATAAGCTTGAACTACACTGCCATTCTAAACAACTGCAGGATATAGCAGGCATGGCCTCTCTGTCCTGTGCTGCCATCTACAATGGATTTTGTAATTAAAGTACAGTATGAATATGTTAGTTCCTCTAAAATGATATAAATCCTCAACTGAGCCAAATGCAAAGTAGCTCTAAACATGCATAACACATATCAGAGCACTTTTGCAGTTAGTTCCCTTGTTTGGAATAGGTATTACTCTGATTTCTCCCTCATAGTCACAGCAAATTTTAGAAAAGGCAACTGCTGGGTTGCTCCTGATAGGAACATTTCTCAGCCCTAGCTGAGACACTCGGAAGAAACCCAGCCACGTCTAGATACTTGGCTTCTTAGACTGTATTTCCCAGCCTCCCCTGGAGCCAGAGGAAACGACGTGACCCAATTCTGACCAATGAATTGTAAGTAGAGGTCATGCGGGCAACTTATAGGTTTGTTCACACGGTCTAAGTGCTGGGCTTTCACATCCTGTCTTCCCCCTTCTTGTAATGACAATGAAGGGTCACCTGTGCAGATAAGGGTGACATAGGGTGGCAGCTGGAGCAGCTAGGGAGAGAGTCTGGACCCGGGGATGATCCCTTACAGAAGAGGAGCCCTGTTAGTCCTGGGCTAGCATGAGAGACACAAACTTTGATTGTCTTTGAGCCACTACCTTTTTTTGTTTTGTTACAGTTGTTTAGTCTGTACCCTAACTAAAACAATGTCAAAAGGCCTAATATACCAGGAGAAAAGAAATCAGTATTCCTAAGTACCCAAATATTTAGGTGGTGGGGGATACATAGAGAAAATATTGAGATTAATTAACCGTGGTTTTCTTGAAAATGTTTGGCATCCTGAAGAAAAAGGTCAAATACAACTTTAAATCAACAGTTACAACTGTTTCTGCTAAGTATTGAAGATTAAAAAGTAAGCTCTATAAAAAAGGGAATTTGACTTTTGTTCACTAGCCTATCTCCAGAGCCTGAAACAATGCCAACTGGCACACAGACATTTGTTTAATGTCTCAATAAGTTTTGCTTAATGGTTCTCCAAACAAATGTTTATGCAAACAAATGTTCAGATGCCCAATATTGGGATTCAAAGAAACATACGCTCTTTTTAATTTTCTTCTTTCCTTCTGCAACAACCATCCAGTGCAGCATTCTAGAATGGGAGAGGTCAGTTGTGTCATCCCCATACGTCCAACTTATATATAATAGGCTGCTGAAATATTCCACAGAAGTTATTTCCGGGGCAACTGGGGCTGAAAGGGAGGAAAGGAGAACACTTTAGTATAAGAGATTACTAGCTATTGCAATACTTATCAATGGTGCATGAAATCCCCTGTACAGGCAGCTTAAAGAATTAAAATTCACACCACAGGACGGTCCCGGGAGAAGCTGTGTCGTGCAAGGTGGGCACTTGGCTCATGGGACCTCACCCGTATGGCTCAGACACCAGGCAGCGCCACCTGAACCTGAAGGTATCAAGGTCTTCATGCAAATTTCACAGTTACAAGATTCCCATAATGTTCATTTTTTTGGGTGTGCTTGTTGCACCAATAAATTAACCACCAGGCATTGGTGAACTTATTTTCAAAGAAGTACTGGAAACCCTAAGGTTCTATAAAAATAAGTCTTTTTCATGGTGACACAGCCAAGGTGTTTATGAGAATAAAGGACAGTAGGATCAATGAGTAGAGGGACAGAAGAGAAATATGATTCCATAAAAAACAAGGCAAAGTCACAGCTAGTGTCTTAGCCCAGTGCTTTGCAGAAGGTGGGCTCTTAACAAATGCTCTGAGGCAAATACTAAGGGAAGGAAGTAAAGGATATTTTATCGCGCTGTAAAGTTAAATTCGCTCTAATTTATTTTATATTTTGTATATTTAAACTTAAAACACTGCCAGTTGGGAAGAAGAGTCCATCACAAGCTTTATAATATATGACCCACGAAAGTGTATTTTAATTATTTTAATGTAACTGGTAATTCTGAAGATTTGAAGAACCACCTGAATTTAAATTCCACGTGACTGGTGGTTTAAAGACAGGCGAGTTTTCTGTTCCATGCTGCAGCAAAATACCAACTAAAATATTTGGAGGAGAATTTCTACAAATCATAAAGAATTGTTTTCTTTAATATGCCACTGATTCTCAAAACAAACATTCATAACAACGATGCTTTCAAAGAATTATTCACTGACAAGATGGGTAACAGAGAGAGTAAAAAACACGTTTCTCTTTCATGTAAACAGCAGTAGCATTTCTATACATTTGACAATAAATCTTGAAATAACAATGTCTTAGCAAATTACACATATTTTATTAGCAAATAGCAGATATTTTAGAATATTCCAATGAAGGATAGTAATCCTGGCTTCTTTATGGCCTCCTAATATATCCCTAGTTACTTCATTATATCCAAGTACTTATACTTAGGTTTCTTCAAAGGACATTTTCTCATGTTCTAATTCTAGTGAGGACAAGAAACATATTTAAAATTGCAAACCCAGAAGTACCTATCTCCCCTTCACAGGTACAAGTCTTCAGACTTTTATACTCCATATTGTTACCTTAAAATCCATCATAGTGCCGAAGGACCACAAGATGTCACTATTTGTTTACAAAACATTAATTGGTACACCAGCATAATTACGAACTTGACTTGCAGACAAATAAGTTGCCTAACAAAGAGAGTAGATTTAAGGTCCTAATAAATCACATCTCATTCAAATATTTTGCTCCTGTTCCTTTTTATGCGGCACAATTTGGCAATTTGGGTCACAATGAAAAGCATAAGAAAGTGAAGTATGAGATCCTTATTTGCTTTAAAATTAAAATGAGAAGAAAAGCAAAAAGAAAAAAAAAATCTAAAATTTAATGATTTTTAAAAATAAGTATAAAAATAAATCAGCCACCATTATGTTTGAATAATGATTTACATTATATTATTTAGGTCTCACACTATCATCTATATGTTGACATTATAGATATTGATCATTGAGACCATCTGTATCAACAAGTTTAGATAAGACTGTGGACCACCAATGTGAGCATGACTTATTAGTTTGCCTCAGGAAAAGATAAGAAATTACCAAAGATCAATTTACTGAAGATAACAGACTGCTCACTTAGGCAAGTAGCCTACTGATTAACCAGTTTAGTATCCAGACTTGCTTTGTCACCCTAATTGTTCTATCACGATCTTTGCCCAACCTCAGTCAGTTCCCAGTTTTGAAAGGCACACCCAGATCTCCAAATCCTATTAATATTAATATTATTTCAGGTTCAGTGTTCCCCTTCTGAGACGCTGCAATGACTGTCAAGGCCACACTCTGCCTCACTGCAGTGGGTTCTAATGCACTTAGCTTTGCTTTATTAGCCAGGTGTTGGGTAATATTTTGAGTTTTACCAATGAGAAAATAGAAGCCTAGGATCATTGAGATAATTTGCTCGAAGTTTTAAAACTAGAAATAAGCAGAACCAGATCTGCTCAATCAAGTGTTCAGATGGGAAGCGGGGCTTTTTCCTGACATTGCTGTCTGACAAGAAAATAATATTCTAGGAGAGTTAATCCCAACAGTTAAACTGTATAAATTGTTGATACAGTGAAGTTTAATTATAATTAAATATGTAAATATTAATACAGTCAACAGCATAACCAAGGCTTGTTAAATAATTGGTATTTTCTCCTTTTTTGAGCAAAGGGGGAGCACTAAACAATTGGCTAGTAAGGAAAAGTGATGAATTATATAAGTAATTGTGTAAGAATTCACATAAAATTAATTTCTTTCCTTTGTTTTTTAATTTATAAATTTCAACAGAACAAAGCTGGATGTCCAGTGAGGAAAATATTTTATCAAAATTACTCTTCATCTAAAAATATTTTTTTTCTTTTCTTTTCTTAGTACAACTCTAAATATAGCCTTACAGTCCAGCCAAAAGTTCTTGAAAAATCTTAATGCAAACAACCAGAGTTAAGGTGTCTTGGATGAATTTCCCTTTCCATGGTCACCTCTGGTCACCTCAGCGATCTCTGCCGTGTGATGATGAACCACACAGCTTAAGGCCCTGAGATCTAACACGAACAACTTTTCAAGTTACTTAAACTTTGTGTCATGTATTTTGCTAAGTAGCTTATTTAACTGAGTAGTAATAATAGATAATAACAGAGAATAGATACTAGTTTCATCCCCATTTTCCACATGATAAAACTGAGGCTTAGAGAAGTCAGCTTGCTCAAGGTTATAGGTGGCAGGCAGCAGAGCCATGATTCAGGCCCAGGCCAACCTGGCTCCAAAGCCCATTTACCTCCTGCAGTGAACAATACCGCAGTCAGCCCGTGGCTTCAAAAACGGCTTAATTAATAAGGAACTGCAGGCACTGTAGCAAACAGGATCATCAAATGGGCCAAGTCACGGGGGTGCCGTGGGAAGCTGAGACCTGCCTGCTACATCTCTGTTCTGGCCAGCTGCAAACGGGCACACAGGCCGAGGGCAGTGACTCGGGATAAAAATAATATTTTAATTTGTAAAAGCCATCATTTAAACAAACAGTGAATTTCCGGACTCAAGCATGTGATCCCCCAGGACACCAGTGCCCAGTCGTCCTGAGTGAGTGATGGGCACTTGCTGAAGCCTGGAGACCTCAGAGCCTCCTCCAAACAGTGTTCCCGCCTCAAAACACGGTTCCCACGCCCCGCTCACCTGTTATGAAGCTGATGGTGGAACTGTCACAGCAGCTCAGTTCTGGGTCTCCCCACGTCACCATGGTCACTCGGAAGTTATAGTACCACGCTGGCAACAGATTGGCTATTCTCTGAAACAAGCAAGGAGACAAAAGACTAAGGGGGGACATCATCTTTTTGGAATAGAGTTGTTTCTATTCAAACATGAAAAGAATTAATAAGCAATTTTTATTTTCCTTTCTGTGCCCGGTCATATTCACCAAATTTTCCATTATAAAAACAACTTTTTTTTGAAATGAGGTGAGGTGTAAATAAAATGCTATACAAAAAAATAACATACTTTAAAAAAGCAATTCAAAGGTATAGACTCAGATACTTCCAATATTGGCTTCATTTTGCAGTTTCCTAAGTTATATTATACAAGTGAAACAATACTTATTTGCTAGCTGTATGTACACATCTCCTTATTTCTAAGCCAAATGACCTTTTATAACCCTGTATTCTCCCAGGTTGGACCCTAAGCATGTACCCTTGATGGGTGGCAATTACCAGTGTCATCAACTGGGTAGAGGGCAATTGTGTACCTCATGTGTCACCTGTAGGGTACCTGCTCTTTTAAAGTTATTCAAGGTGCAGAAAGAGCAGTCTTTACCTGCTCTCCAATGGCCAGACAATAGAGGTATTAAACTGATTTGTAGATGTCAAGAATCATCGTTACAGTTAAGCAGTGTCAACTAATTATTAAATGATGAAAGCTAATCTCTTGTGCTTTTCTCCCCAGGGGCAGTAAGAAACAATAAGTGCTTGATATCTATACTAAAATGTGGATTAACAAATAAACTCGATTAGGGGTGAAAGGTAGTTTCACACAATTCTCTCTCTCTCAAAACAAACTGAAAACTAAAAACAATCCTAAAAGCAAAAACAACCTAAAAACTTTGATAGTGGTAAACTACCATGTATATTTACGACACGGTCTAATTTACAGATACCTTTTCCTGACATTAGGTACATACAGGCGTGTCTATTTCCACAGGAAAGTGGGATGGGTAAGGAAAGATTACCACTGATGCAGTTAAGGAGACAGTCGCTGCTATTTCATAGTAGGTTGTCCACTCTGATGTCATTGTTGCAGGGTTGAAATAAAACATTTCAACCACATATTTTCTGAACACTCCTAAGTAAGGTCTCGTCCAGCTCAAAACCACTGCTGTAGGACCCAAGGGGTAGAGCATTAAATCCTTTATTCCAGTTGGAACTAAGAAGGGGGAGGGGGAGTGAAAAAAGAAAGCCAAGAAGGGATGTTTAATATCTTAGCAATGGCTTCAAACTTCTATTTAATAACTAAGGTTTTCACTCTTCTGATACAATTATTGAAAACTAAACATATTTGTCTCTGACCCCACACACACCCCAAATAGTAAATGCTAAGGATGTCCTCCAGCTGTAATAGTTTATTGCTCTGAAGGTAAGATATTGGATGAACAAGAATGAGCCTCCTATGTATGAAGATAATGACTGGAGCTTGGATGCTGAACCCCACAAACAATACTTTGATAAAGTTGTTTTTCTTGTAGCTGGTAACTTACCAAGGGCAAATGTCACAGGATCTGAAGGTGGTCCAATCAAAGGGCCTTTTCTTAGGTACATCACCACCTGGTATTGGGCACCAGGAACCAGATTTTCAATAACAGATTTGCTTGAGTTCACCTTTAAACCAAACACCCAATGAGATTTCTTTAGAGCTGGGCTTTTAGAATGTGACACAGAGGCGAAAATTGTATTCAGAGACTCTTTGTGGAACCAGAGATGCCTTTGAAATCCAGAATTCTTTACTCATGCCCGGGAAGGTCGGATTTCAAAATTAGGATGATTTATAGTTTATGTGAACACAGAAGGGGGCCCAGAACATTCAAATTCTATGGCTGGATTTAATAAGCCCCATGAACTGCTTCACACCCATCAATGTCAATTGTGACTATGTACAAAAGAGACGCATATGCCTCTAACAGTAATCAAATCAGCAACACCATCAGGATAGCCTGGCATCCTAAATTGTAGTGTCAGCTGATTACATACAAAGATCAGTGCAGGGATGCCTGTAGTCCCTTGTCACCGAGAAGCATATAATATCTAATTATAGAGATGGAAATGACTTCAGGGATTCTCTAGTCCAAACCTCTCATTTAATAGATCAAGAAAGTAAAGCCAGAGGACTGCCAAGGTCACATATTTAGATTCAGTGTTGGAATGTGACACCTAGTGTGTGTCCTCTAGTCCACACTACAGGCTGCTGCAACCCCATGAAATAATGTTGTCGAGAACATTTCTCATTAGGTGAGCTCTTCTTTACAGATTTAAAAAAAACTTTTGGTTACGTGACTAACACCATATAGAGAAAAATAGTGAGAACAGATAGATACATACAATGTACCCATTTAAGTTGAATCTTGCTGTGCATAAGGACTGATTAAGAAGTATGTTGCTTTAAACCCTTAGTGCTTCTAGTGTTAAGACAATCTTGCTTAGTGAAGAGAACACAGGTTTTCCATTCAGACTGTCTGAGATCGAATCTTGACCCTACCCCTCATAAACATGGGAGTTTATTGATAATTTATAATTTTTAATTATCCTTGGTTTTTAATTTACCTTGGTTTCCTCATTGATGAACTATAGATAATACTATCAGATACCTCATAGAGTTCTAAGGATGCTTAAGCCAGAATATAAAAAAAGTTGACTCGTATTACTCATCAACTTTTTTGCCTCTAGGGCACATAAAATTGCTGCAAAGATGCTTAAGTAACTGGAAAACAATATTGTTGACAGCTTACCTATGCTGTGATTTTTAAAAGTCTCATCACAATTTTAAGAATAAACATACTTTTAGTGATATTATATAGATGAAAACCTTTCTAACACCAGAAACTGATTCTATACAGCAGAAATTGTATAATTTGAACTGGTANGCAATTTTAAGAATAAACATACTTTTAGTGATATTGTATAGACGAAAACCTTTCACACCAGAAACTGATTCTATACAGCAGAAATTGTATAATTTGAACTGGTACAACTTTCTCTTCACATAGGTGGGGAGGACGGCATACCAAAATTCTTTTTCCATTAATTTGACCAAAATAAGATGAAAATGAATTAATAAGTTAGCATTTCCACCTTTCCTATTTACACTCTTTTTATATCAGGGTTGCTTGTCCATGTTTTAGAATTCACTTCTGCTAGAAGACATCAAGACAAAGCTAGTCCACGAGATAACTTCATCTGCTAGAGCATTTCCTGAAGAGATTAGCTATGAATAAGAACATGTATATTACACAAAATAAGCAGTACTGTTTTATTCCTTTAAAATACATTTTAAACAATAAGACTATTTGCTCTTTGTAAAAATTATTCACATCATAGGAGAGTAAATAAAGTAAACTGAAGTCTTACTGTCGTCCTCCCATCATTTCCAACATCTTGGTGAGCAATTTTCCAGGCTTTCCTTGACACATAAATTCATAAGAAATATGCTATTGAACCATACAGGTGTCAGAGTATCAACATTGCTCCAAACTTTTAAATTCACAGCACATTGTAGACATCCGAACACACCTATAAATACTGACCTAGTTCTTAATCACTCATTAAGAATATTAGAATAACACAGGACGTTAAGCATGTAGATTGTTTCAGGGTGATGATAAAGTTCCTTTAGTTTGATAATATACATATATATATCACAATACTAAAAAAATGAGAAGAAAGTAATGATATTTCAAATGAACTTGTAACAAATCATAAACACCAATCCCCTCCCAATTTTTGAATATTTGCTGAGCCACCAACCTATATCTACACTTCTGTCCCTCTGTACCTTTTTATTTATCCTAGACCTCCTTGGGGGTGGATTGGAGGTGAGAGGGGAAAATGCTCATATATTCTATTTGCTAAATAATATGTATTTTATTGTCTAGAGGATTATTTCATACCCCCTTCCCCAACTTTCACCCCATCTTTGCCTTCCAATATTTCCTCTCCCACTCCTGACTAGCTTAGTCTTCATCACGGAGAATATCATTCAGCCCAGAGTCTCCCCAACTAGTCACCAGTCCTCTCCCTCCTCGGCTAAAGAAATGGGAGGAAAGATGGACTAAACAGTATAGGGAATTTATCCTATTTAACAATTAAGTAGCTGGTTTGAAGTAGATGCTGATGAGGGTTCCTTTGACTCTGAAATGGTCTTATTTCTACTTTATGTTATTCTTATTTCATTACTTCTTTTCTATACATTTGTTATAATTACTCAGGTTTTTCTGGGAAGGAATCTTAGAATTACTCCATCTCCCTCCTTTGATTAAAAAAAACAACCACCATCCAGGTCAGTTTGTATAATAATAAAAGCTAACAATTCCTGGCACACTTATGTCCCAAGCCCTGCATTAAGCATCAAGACTTTGATCTTTGTTACAACTCTATGAGAGAGGATATGCTTCTCCTTATATTACAGATTAAGACACTTGGACATAGAGGCGAAGTCGTCTAGGGACTCAGAGTCGGTAACTGTTAGAATCAGGTCTGAACTCAGCTGTTTGACACTGGAGTCTATGCTTTCAGTCACTCCTTTTGACTTTGTCAAGAGCAGTGAGGGTGACCCCTCCCCGCAGTGTAGCGCATGCGATCCGACAGAAACAGCAGGACCTGGAAGCTGGATCACTTGAGTCCTGGTCTCAGCTCTAATTAAACAATTAGTGTGTAACTTTGAGCAGGTTCCTTAAATAGTTGGCCTTACTTAGCTCTACTATTTTTTTTATTTACATAGCCAATAGATTAATTTGTCTGTCTTCTGATTTTGTCACTTAGCTATACATTCCTGTAAACTGTGGAAAACACTTATGGACCAAGGCAGATCACATATAAAAATAAATATACATGCATATATTATATGATGCTTCTTAAGTCTGAAATGTATGATTGTGTGTGAGTCTACGGAAAATGCCAAAAACACATTTAACTTCAAAGAATTGGCTGGGTCCTTTATCTAACTGAGCACTGACTTTATGTTCAACATGTATGTAATTTCTTAATGAATAGCCCTCAAATGGCCATTAGAGATATATCACAAAACTCCTTTCCCCATAAACAGTCACAAACAAACACATACATGGAAAAAACCCAGATATGAAGAACATACACTTGATAAGGACAAATTTAAATTACTGGGTACATGCACCTACATGGAAGACCAGATGCTAAGCTTCGTGAACTTCAGGTTCAAGTCAGGTTTGTTTTATCCTAGCATCTCGCACAGGACGCACCTACCACAGAAATCAGTGGAGTTGTAGGAGGGGTAGGGGCACTAGCAGTGGGTCTCATGGCTGAGCTAGATGACACATAAAGCAATGCTCCTGGGGCACGGCTGGTGGCAGAGGCAAACAGAGAGAATGAAACTATAAAATAGCAAAACATTATCTTAATTGTTAATATGTATTTGGCTCTAGAATCATGCTTATTTTTGAGCTATATTTTGAATTTTCTATTTAATGTAATCACAGTACCACTGAATATAAAACTAAAGAAATATCATTATTGTTTTCTTTCTGGATAATGACTGCTTTAGAAATAAGCCCAAATCAGATGGATCCTGTTGAGAACACCTCCTGGATTCTTTTGATCAATGGCCACTTGACTGTAGGTCGGTTTGTGAGATTTTTTGAACTGATGCTTCCTCATCTGAAAATGTGTGTGTGTGTGTGTANTGGATCCTGTTGAGAACACCTCCTGGATTCTTTTGATCAATGGCCACTCGACTGTAGGTCGGTTTGTGAGAGTTTTTGAACTGATGCTTCCTCATCTGAAAATGTGTGTGTGTGTGTGTGTGTGTGTGTGTGTGTGTGTGTGTGTNATGTGTGTGTGTAGTGGGGTGGTGGGTGATGGGGGGGTAATAATACAGTCCTCAAAACATTCTTCTGGTAACTGAGATAACACCTAGCACAATGGTTTAGTTCCCACTTTCCATTTCACATATTGGTCTCCTTGCTCATAATCTTTAACAGTTTCATGTNGGGGTAGTGGGTGATGGGGGGGAAAATAATACAGTCCTCAAAACATTCTTGTGGTAATTGAGATAACACCTAGCACAGTGGTTTAGTTCCCACTCTCCATTTCACATATTGGTCTCCTTGCTCATAATCTTTAACAGTTTCATGTTTGCACTTCAAAAAGTACTATCAAAGTGCACTCAGACCAGCCCTTTCTGGCTCATTTATAACATATACTATCTATCTATACCTTTAGCTTTTTGCTTCCATGCAAAAGATTTGTAATTTGTACATTAGTTGGGGCAGGGAGGAAATGTACCTTGGAGAAATCAAGTTCTAGGTCACATGCTGTAAGAGAAAAACAGTTTCCTATCAATGTCCAGAGTCTATCATCTTCCGTGTACTCTGGGAAGGAAGCTTGTAAGCTGCACAGTGAGCCGTGATTACTAGTTAATTGGTTCAGCATATTTACTCCTTAATTTAATTCAAGTCCAGGGGTAGCCTCAGCATTAAGTATGGGCTTATCTCAGCACGCTAACACTTCCTAGTGCTCCAAAGACCACTATTCCTGAATTCNTGGAGTCTATCATCTGGGAAGGAAGCTTGTAAGCTGCACAGTGAGCCGTGATTACTAGTTAATTGGCTCAGCATATTTACTCCTTAATTTAATTCAAGTCCAGGGGTAGCCTCAGCATTAAGTATGGGCTTATCTCAGCACGCTAACACTTCCTAGTGCTCCAAAGACCACTATTCCTGAATTCATCTTATCAATTAAAAAATTCTCCCTCTGAATTTCATTAAATGCTTGATTTTTGTAGCATGGATGGAAACCTTCCAAATAGCTTTCATACAGCCAACATCTTTTTTGAGTATTGTATTTCCAGTGTACTGCATATGAACTGATTGTTACTTTGCCTTGAGGCAGGTGGGTACTGTGTTTATAAGACACCAAGAAATAGTAAATTTGATCTCATGAAATAATCAAATGTAATAAATAATGAAACAAAATAATAAAGTGTAATAATAAAACCAGGTTTTTAGGAAAACTGGACCAGGCTCCAGGCCTTCGGTGGGTGTTCAGGGCATCGGAGAGCAAGGCCTGCCCTGGCCCGCACTGCTCGGCTGCACTCAGGATCCCGGGGCGTGTGCACGCATCTGGGATCCACTCCCAGAGCTGCTGTCTCCACCGGCCCTCACCCCGCCTGTGCTCAGCTAACTCCTAGCCCATCCTACAGAACTCCTCTCAGTTGTGATTATTGATTTTTTTTTACTTTATCTGCTTTTAATTTTTGAACCATTTTTTTCAGGGAGCACGCATTGCTTTTATAGTCAAAACAACAAGAAAANTACTTTATATGCTTTTAATTTTTGATTTATTTTTTTCAGGGAGCACGCATTGCTTTTATAGTTAAAACAACAAGAAAAAAAAATGAGAAAAAAAGTAAAACAAACAAAAACAACCCCAAACCTTCTNACTTTATCTGCTTTTAATTTTTGAACCATTTTTTTCAGGGAGCACGCATTGCTTTTATAGTCAAAACAACAAGAAAAAAATGAGAAAAAAAGTAAAACAAACAAAAACAACCCCAAACCTTCTGCTTGGTTGTCTCCCGCCCTGGGGGAAATTTTTCTCTCTAGTTTCCAAATCCTCTCCCCTCAATCCCTATTTACGCCCAGTTCCTTCCTTCTGCGAGCTCATGCGGCCTCCTGGTGGTTTTCAGCCTAGGCCTTATTTTACACTCTGCAGTAATTACATGCTCACTTATCCGTTGCTCTCACTAGATTATAGGCTCTGCAAAAGCAGGATGTATAAAAATTATCTAGATCCCCAGTGTCTGTCCTAGTACCTGGTACATTGTAGGTGCTCAGTAAATTCTCTTGAATGAAGCATGAAAGCAAAAGGCTGGTGGCCACCCTAAGAGGGAAAAGGAAGGTGGCTGTGACCAAAGAGCCACACACCTCATTTCCTGGCCCCTCTCCCGGCTCCCGGTGCACGGGGGAGACTTGAGCCTGGCTTCTCCCGGTGGCCTCGCACGGCCTGGAGGCTGTGCTGCAGCAGGCGAGTGAGGCCCGCAGCGAAGCCCTTCCTTTACCTGCGTGCAGTACTGTTTCTCCAGCCTCTGGCTCTCCTTTTGTTTCTGGCAGGTGAGGGACACCACGGACACAATGGTGCCGTTGTAGTTCTCTTGCGAGGATGTCCAGGACATCAAGGCAGTGGTCGAGCTTAAAACGTGGACATTCACGTGCTGGGGCTTCTCAGTGAGCTCTTCCATCCACTCTCCCGAAGGACCTGCACATTTCAAAGCAGAGCACAAGGGATGTTTCACGCTGAGATGGTTGAGATAAAAGGTCGTAGTTATAAAAATCGTGTTGTTTTCTTTGCCCTAACACAGATATCCAAAGTAAGACTGGCAGCCAGGCTGGTCTTGACATCGTCTGCCCAGCGACAGCCCGTGCTGCATCTCTCATCATTGACCTAAATAACAGCAGCAGCAGCAAAAACAGCCCTACCGAGAGGCAGACGCTCTGCTTCCATTGTTACGTGCATCTGAGATTATTCTGGAAAATTCTTCACTTTAGAGAATTTAAAAACAAAGAGTGGGTGTAGCCGTGTGACATGTCATCCGTGTTTATAATTTCTTTGCTTCTAGGATCTTTGGTCTCTAGACCAAAGAAATAATTACTTTGAGCTTCAAACTAGCTTTTACTATGGTTATATAAAAAAAGGTCAAATTTGATCACAGCAGGATGGAAGAGGCAGGGCGTGACTATATGAGAGAAGAGATGGGCAATAGGTTGGCTCAATTACAGAAGCTGGCTAAAACCTGGGTGATAATTTGAGGACATGGTGGGTTCTTCATGATAAAATATCTTCATAGAAGTGCCCCCCCATTAGCTTTGTTCTCTTAGGTTTCTAAAGGGGTCGTCAGCACAGTGCCTGACACATAAGGAAGGACCCCAGAATTGTTATGGCGATTTTATCTACAGAAATTCCCTGTTGCAATGCAAATGTGCAACTTCCTTTTATTTGCTTAGGAAACATTCCTCTCTTCCTTAATAGAAGCTGTATTCCTAGGCTGGAACCCAGGACAGGAAAGGGAGCTGGTGGCTGTGCTGGGGGCTGCAGTCTCAGGATCACCGTAACTGGGGCGGGAGAAATAACAAAAGTAAAAATAATAATAATAATAATAATAATAATGGCAAGGCGATATAGCATTCGTTATGTACCAAGGTCTGTTTTAAGTCTATATGTGTTTACATATTTAATTCCTTAATTTCCATAACAAACCTGTGAGATAAGTACTGGTATTAATCTCTGTTTCAGATGAGGGAGGGTAAATGAGCTGGAATTAACACAGAGAAAGTCTGGTTCCCAAACCCATGCAGTGGTTCAATAAATACTTTCTGAATGTACAACAGAATTAATAAATATGCAAATAGTATAATCCCAGGCTAGGCTTTTATAATCTGGTGCTAGAAGCAAGATGTACACAGATAAAATAAATCTGGAGAAATACCACGCACACATAAGCTCTGTGTTTCGAGTTGTGTGTTAAGAAACAGTAGAAACTCAGAGAAGGGAGGAGACAGCTTGGCCAGGACAGTCGAGGGAGGCTGCCTGGAAACCCTTAACACTCGCGGGGGATCTCTGTGAGCAGATAAGGGAATCTTGGATACTGAAACATTTTTAGCCCATGGGAAGAACTGAATAGTAAACTATGTTCTCATTCTCAAGTGATGTCATGTCAAAGCTCTCCCGTCATTGGAAGACATGCAAATAAATTATGACTATTTTTTTTTGCACGCCTATTGGGCCTTTCAGGCTTTCTACCAGTGAGGACATTTTTGGTCGCTTAAGTAAAATGGTTATATGGGACATTTTCAACATTTTTAAGTTGCTAAATGAACTGATTTCTCCCCTCCGCCCTCCTCCTCTTTCTCCTGCCCATCGTTTTGAGGCCTATTTGTGAACGGTGGTCTTTTGCCTTTGTAGATGGTGATAAAGTGAACGGTGGCCATCCTTTTTGGAGAGCAATGTTTACCCATCCCTTCTGTTTTTCTTTCTGCTGATCAGAGGCACATTTAATTCCTGATGAGCTACGTAGCTGGTTTTTAGCCTCTAAATTTCTGGCAAACATAGTCAGATTAGCTCAAAACATTACAGACATGCACTTTTAGAGGCTACTTATTGATCTGAGATTACCTTTTATTGACTCAGTAGAAGCCACCCTAAGATTTGACATTGGGCCTTTAGGATTCTCTAGCTTTGTTTTCTTGTGGCAGCTTTAGGGTGACCACCTCGGTCTTACAAAACTTCAACTTTTGTCTTTCCTTTTCAGCTCTATAAGCTCAATATTCTGAGACTTTTCACACAGTCCAACAATATCAGTTTTCATTACAACCTTAAACAAAAGTCATATTTCTTGAAGGACATTTGTTCATGTCCTTCAAGAGTTTGTTGAGGCTAGTGTGAAAGGCCAGATTAATAAATGTGCAATTATCACAATAATTTTAAAAATCCTTAAGTTAAATGGGTAGGTTTGTGACTATTAAACATACATATATTTCCTCTGCTCTCAACATTTCATGGATTTGGGACTCTCCTGACCTTGAAGAGTCTCAGGATCTCTGAGGTGTGATGAATAATTGATGCCTGAGCATCATTAATCCCACCAGTTCCATTGTTCTAGCCCCCGGTAAGCGCAAAAGGGTCTCTTTGGTACTTACTGATGTAAAAACTGAGTGATTTTGCTGACTGACTTTTTCGAGTTTCACAAGATCCTGAGGAACTAAAAGTTGTCACAGATAACTTATATTTCCCAGGCTCCTTCAGCTCTGTAACAAATTCGTGTGCTTCTTCAGCCACTGTCAAATGTTCAGTAAAGTTTTCTAAATAATACATAAAAAGAGAATACATATAAATTGATAACTGGAAAGGCCTTGACTATAGGCAAGTCAATTAATAAAAAAATATTTTTTTATATTGTTGCCTTCCTTTTATCAAATTCATTTATACCGCTAAGCTAAAGGTACTATAAATAAAAAATTGACTAAGGGTTGGAATTGATTTTCACAATACTTTTAAATAGCCACTAAAATATGGTGTCCAAATAAATAAAATGACAGTGAGTATATACTGTGTATTCTTACTTATGGTTACCCAGAAAATTACACACACAAAATAGAAGTAGAATCTTAGAAGACAGCAATAATTGACTTTCTTACCCAGATGCAAGGGATAAAAAGTAACCAATGACAAATATCCTATAAGTTCCTTGTGGTAGCATTAACTATCCAGAAATGCCTTAAAATATACTGAATTCTTTCTAGTTAAAAGTAACTCCTCTGGATATATTTTCTGACACTTGTAATATTTTTCTTTTATCTGTTTGCTTCCAGAACTTTTAAAAAGTAAAAATAATTTTCCTATTGCTTCAAAGTCCATCTCCCACTGCTTATTACTTCATTTGAAGTTGGTATCACCAGCTGGTGATTATAATAGCCTTCAACAGAACACTGCAGTCAGATAAAAGCATGTTTGAACCTTCACAGAAATAGGCATTAAAAAAATTCTGAGCTACAAGACTCTATTTTCCATAGAATATACTGAGGAGCAGAAAAATAAAAGCCAAATTAAGGAAACTTTTTTTCTCTTAATACAAGTAATTCCAGGCAAATGTTACGACTTTTGACTCAAATAATTGGAAATGACTAAGGATTTCAATTTTATATAATATTTGGGTGTGGTTGACTGCTCTGTCATCTAGTATAGAGGAATTCACAGATTTTGTATCTCATTCTACTAAATAAAATAGGGGCAAACAATATGTCATGTATAAAACTACATGATCCTAATGCCCTACCCTGCAAATAGAGCTGTCCTTGTGACTTCAAATTTTGACAACTTGACAACCTTTACCACCCGTACTACTAGACTGGAAAGCATAAAATGAAGTATGTTACTGTTAAAAAAAAACCACGAAAAAACAAAAAAAACTAGACAAATAACAAATAACTATTAAAAATCTACCAAACAACAATTTAGATATTATTCATGACCCAAATTTACTGAATGGATGGCTTTGCTTTTTATAAACTAGTGGGCTAAAATATAAAGAATGGCTCTCAGATGCTGGATAAGTGAATAGGATAGATAATATAGTAGCTACAGTGGAAATACCAGCTGCTGTGTATTTTCTGGTTTACTACCAGCTCCTCTTTGGGAAAATATGAGTGGGGCTGCTTCCAGAGGAGGACACCCCAGGGGACTAAGGACAGCTCGGTGAGCAGGTCACAGGTTTGATACTCTTGGGAAAGCAGCGATTTTGTCAGAAAGATTCTTTTGCTGCATGCTTCCAAAATTTATGAAAACGGGAAATTTCTCCAGAATATTTTATAATTTGTGATGATGGTTAGACCTTTAGTTGAAACTCTTTCCAGCAGCGTGGGGTCTGTTAAACGTTGGGCGGGGAAATATGCACAGTTGACAATACTTGCAACTGATGAACTAACCAAACTGCAGATTCCTATCCGATGAGTTCATTTTGTTTCCTAGTCTCAGTTCACATTGGACACTTAATTCAATCCCTCCCCTTTTCTGGTCATTTTTCTTTGGCTATTAACTATCTCCCTTGAGTCTTTCTTCCTCAACTTGAATTTTGCGATGTTTCAGTTTCCTCTGCTTTGACTGTCTCGCGTCTTACTCCATGCGATGTCCTGTCGCTTTACCTTCTCTCTGCACGTGGATGTGGAACCCGTCGAAGGCAGTGGGTGGTTTCGGCGGCAGCCAGCTCAGGACCATTTGCACAGGGGGGAAGGGGAAAGGGCCTGCGGGGGGCCTCTCCGCCTCCCTGAGGGTACCGTTCCCGTCGTATCCCGGGGGCAGCACACCCACAAGCCCAGCCTCGCCTTCAGGGGCTGCGGCGGCGCCGTCCCACCAGCGCGGCTGGGCCGCAGTGTCGCCGTCGCTGCTGTGCAGGTCGGGCCAGCCGGAGGAAAGGTTGCCCGAGGGCAGCTCGGGAGCTTCGTCTGGGAACTGGAAGAGCTTGTCTTTCCCTGCCGGGTCTTGTGGCCTCATGAACGACTCCTCTGGGAAACTGCCGCTCTGTTCTTCCCAGTTGTTTTTGTTCAGGTTTATAATACGAACTGAGATGTTTCGCGGTGGATAAGGGGCTGTAAGGAAAAGAATTTATATTTTCAAGTAATTTTTAAACTCAGACTGAATGCTTAATCTGTTGACGAGTCAGATGCATGAGCAGATTTACAAAATAGAGCTTAGTTCGACTTCTATAATTCTAGGTTCTAATTTATGTCAAGAACAATCATGATTTTACATCTAAGATTTTGTGGGTGATGTGTACATTTTTGGACACTTACCAGTTCTATGCTGTTGGGGTTCATGGCTGACACCACTGTACTCCACAAGAGCACTCTTGTTAAAAGTTGCCTCAGATACCAGCTGAAAAGTGATATTACTATAACATATTCCTGGCAGCCAGTGATTAAATACTGTTTTTCCCTTAAAGAAATCTGAGAAGAGAAAAAAAATCAATTATATTAAAATATTGATCTTCTAAATGACACACACTTTTTGGAAGTTCTAACCATTATGATTAAATATCAATAAATAATATTTTCTTCAACTTCTGGGATGGAGAGTAATAAACATTTGACATAGGCTAGAGGTGAAAATTTGAATTTTTAGATTCAGTCCTGAAAAGCTTTTTATGCAAGATTTGGATATAATTGGAGTTAAGTCTCAATTCCAGGAGCATTTGGTGTATTAAGTGGAAAACATGTATAGAAACTGTGGAGACTAGGTTTTTGTTAGCTACTTACTTCGAGACGAAAACCCACGGTATTTTGCCACCTTATGACTTAGAAAAAAGTAATTTTACAAGAAATGTTTTCTCTAGGCTCACTTGTGAAAACTAGCCTATTTTAAAAGTAGAACGGTTTTATCTGACAGCTGCAGACAGAACCTGCTCAAAGAAGAAAATAAAAATTTGGATTTCATCTGGAAAACATTAAAGAAAATAATAAATTTAGAAATCCAAGTTATAAAGGAATGAGAGAAGGAAATGAAAAGTACTACTTATGCAATTAAAAGCCAAAAACAATTTAAAAAATTGATTAAAAAGAGAGCATGTTCACTTATTTTTAAACTCACAGCTTCGAACTCAGCAAAAATTCCAGTGATTGCTTCTCAGCCGTTCATGAACTTGCCCGTGTGTGTGATAAACAAATAAACACCCATTTATTAATTTGCAGGTAATCTGTTTTCACTGAAAATAAAGAATGCAATAATTTGTGGAGTCTATGTTTATTTAAATGTTTTAAAAATTGTAGAAAGCACTGCAAATATTTTAAACAGTGTCTCATTGAAAAAGAAAATAAAATCTATGGAAGAAAGGAATTTGTGAAAGCAGCAAGTCAGTGACATTTATCTGGATACCATGCCTTACGTGCTTCAACATGCATTCTCCACCTCACCAGTGTCTCCAGTTACAACCAGTCAACTTTGACACCATCGTCTAAGCCTCCTGCAGAGAGATGTCCTGTCCTGAGAGTATTTGAGCTCTTCCACTCAACTCCCCCGGGGCAGAGGAATACCCTCTCTCCTCTCCCTCCCCACCCTCCTC